TTTTCACGAGTTCACACTAGGGGAAAAGATTCATGGGGGTCGATCATGTATCTTTTCACTTAGGGTGAATTCGTGAAAAAATGAAAATTTTCACGTAAAGCGAAAAAGTGAAAATTTTAGTGCGAAAAAGTGAAAACTTTCATGCGAATTAATATTTCCCGTAAAAAATAATATCTATATTCATAATAAGTTAATCAATTACGATGGCTGCTGCATGGTGGATAGTTAACGAGGAACAAAACGAAAGAAACGAGAATTTACGTATTATGCATAAAATTTTAAGAGATACTCAAGATCTTTTTGATATCCCAGAAAAACAATTTCAGGAATTATATAAGTAATAATAATTATTATTATATTATTGTAATTAATTTTATTATTTTATTATTTTATTTTTTGTTTGTGTGTTACATTCATTCTAAAAAAATAATATATAACATGAAGAAATATTATAAGCAAACATGAGAATATTTATAATCTATTATTTTACTCACTTTAATGTAATTATACTCTATGCAAATGCGCTGGGTGGAGTTGATACATATACTATAGTAAAACTAACTCAACTCGACCCAACTCTGAGTGTTTACGTTAAATCGAATACGAGTTAGTTCCACTAGGGTCGAAAAATGTAATAGGAACAACCATCTAGTATCTTCATGGTTTAAGATAACTCAGTACTGCTTTCCGATGCTTTTTCCATGCGTATGCGTATTCCACAATTCAAAATAATGTGGACAACTGCTCTAGTGAATTTTACTTTGTATGGTTGCATACTTTTTTAAAATTGAAATTATATGATAAAGAATTTTGCATAAAATGTACAAAGAAAAGATTACAACAGTATATTATACATTATAAATACAGATGCACATTAAATAAAAGTACGCAAGAGTTGCAGGAAGAAACCGAAAATGCTTTACACGGCGAGGAATAGCGTGAAAAATTATTACAACTGTCTCTGGGAAGAATTAAAACAATTATCAAAACAGATCCGGGACAAGTTTATAATAATTATTACAAATATTTAAAAATTGCTCACTTTTCACGATTTCATGCTAAGGAAAAAAGTTATATGATCGATAGTAAAATTAAACTCACGTGAAAAGATTCATGATTGATACCATGATCGCTACCCAGGGTTGGGTTTTTCGAGTATTTTCTAGGGTTTTTTACATACCATAAAATATGTATAATACGTATAAAGGGACGTCTACATTGGAAGTAAATAGCAAGAAGTAGGAAGTAAGAGTAAGAAATTGACCAACCACAGTCGAATGTGAGAAAAATAATTAACTATGATTGGTCAATTTCTTATTTTTACTTTCTACTTCTTACTGTTTATTTCCAATGTAGACGTCGCTTAAGGGTGAAATGCACAAACTTCGGTTGTTTGCAAGAATATGGCGGCTTCCATGTGTTACATGTGTGATATGTTTATGAATATATATATATATATATATATATATTCATAAACATATCAACACATGTAACGATAGAAGGTAATTTATTTAAAGTTTATCTTATATAATTTGTAATTCAATTCAATTTTTTTATATTAAAGATTGTTCTTACTGAAGTAATATTTACTGAGGTATATTATCTGTGATCACATTTATTTTTATTTTTTTTTTTATAGTAGAGTTTCAACTTAATTCATTATCTAATCTTTATTCCCATAGAAATAAGAGCAGGTCCATTTTTATATGCTTAACTTAATAATAACGATAGACGTCGGTAGACGTCGTTGCGTCTTTATACCATACCAGCTTTTTTATACCATAGAATAGGGATGTGCAATACAATATCGATATTGCAAATATCGATATTTCGCAGCCGATATTTCGATTTTTTGTATCGATATTTCGTCCAACGATATTTGCATGTATCGATACTAAACTCCAGAATATCGACTATGTATCGATCGACCAGAAAATGACGTTAGGGCAAGATTTTCATATATGTATTATATAATACTACTATATTGCTAACTGAGAGAGAGGTTCCGTCCCAACACCACGGTGGGGGAATATATTTCCTATTTTTTCTAAGTTTACTATTTTGAATGTTATGCCCATGCGTCGGATTGATCGTGTCCGCCAATAGAAAAGTAGATTGGTATGTTCAATCTAAGGTCTGTTCTTTCGCTCTGCACTGCTACACTAGTGCAATAAGTGCAGTAGTGCAGCGCGAAAGAACAGACCTCTTGTCCGAGTGGAGTTTATGATATAGGCTGTGTTCCAAAATTACTGACAGCGCTAAAAATCTATAATATACGTAACATGAACTATAGCTTTTCAGCGCTGGAAGTGAATATTGGAACATAGCCATATTATTGAGGAGTAATGGCGTAGAGCCGCTGAATGTCAAGCGAG